CCTTCCACTAGCGCTCGCCGTCTTCCTTTTCCTGCCACTCGTCACCGTCCTCCTCCTCCTCCTCCTTTCCCCCCCTCCTCCCGCTCATCATCCCACCCCTCCTCCCGCTGCTCCTCATGGTCCACCTCCTCCTGTTACTGGGCCTCGCTCCTCTGCTCCCGAAATGTGCAAAATGAGAATGAATCTTCTGCTAGAACATGGGAAGATACACGGTTATACTTTTTGTCATTGTCCTCCTCCTTCCACTCCTTTTCCTGCCAGTAGTCATTGTCCTCCCCCTACTCATCCTTCCCCTCCTCCTCCCGCTCGTCCTCATGGTACTCGTCCTCCCATTACTGGGCTTTGCTCCACTACTCACTAGATGTGGAAAATGAGAATGAATCTTCCCCTAGAACATAGGAAGATACACGGCCATAATGGTGAGTAGTGCAGTGAGACGGACTGTCCTCCTCCTCGTAGTCTCCCCCCCCTCCTGTTCATTGTCCTCCCCTCCTGCCCGTCACCCGACCCATCCTCCCGCTCCTCATGGTGCCCCTCCTGCCGTTCACTGGTGTGGCATGCTTTCCCCATTGCGGTGCCCGCACTGGTGTGGCGAGCTTCTCTCTCTTCATGAATACCTTCATTTAAAGCTTCATATAATATTTTTTCTGCCATCTTTTTTGCATCAACTTTGAATTCAATCTGGTAGAGTAACTAGACTTTACATAAAAAAATGTATCTTTGTAATCTAATAATTCTAATTTCAATTTAACATGTTTTTATTTTATTTTAATACTTATTTTCAAAGAAAGAAAAGATGAAAGTTCCACGGCGCCCAACACTCGAAAACATTGGGCCCCCCCCTCACCTGGAAAAAAAAGGCCCAACACTTGGGCGCTTCCCGAACGGGCCATGCCCTGGTTGTACAGCCTCCCATTGGATGTTTTATTGGTCCCGCGTGAAGCTCAGGTGACGACCGCTGTTGTTTTTAGGAGTGGGATAGGGAAGAAAAAGATAAGAAAAACAAACTACAACTCAAATCGATTGCACTGACCAGGTGCTGGGTGACATTTCGTTGTGGGGGCGGAGCGGGAGGAGAAAAAGGAAAATTGATTCAGATAAGGAGGTAGGTAGGTATCGCAGAAAGTTGGAGGGAAGTCGAAAGATGGACGAAGGAGAAAGGATGGAGGATGGTGGAGTAATGGATGGAGGAAGGTACGGTGGGAGGTGGAAAGGAGGGAGGGATGACGGCAGGGTGAAAGGAGGGAAGGATGGTGGAGGGCGGAGGGAGGTATTTGCAAATTAAAAATAAACACAGTAAGTGGACCCGCCGCGGCTTCACCAGCGGCCCCAGAATCGTGCAGGTGGGAGGTATGACAAAAGAATCTGGCAGTCTTTCTCTTTTTTTTGGAGTTGTGTATCCTCCCATGATGCTCCATGTGTCCCGTTTCCTCATCTCCGTCATCCCCAATTCTTCTTTGCCTCACCCTTCCACCCCTTCTCCTCCATCCGCACACTTCTAATCTTCATCCTCCCCCACTATCCCGATGGTTCCTCTCTCTCTCTCTCTCTCTCTCTCTCTCTCTCTCTATCTATCTATCTATCTATCTATATATATATATATCAGCCCGTTTCGCCTCCTCCCCACCGTCCTCGCGTCTCGCTCCTCCCCTCCTCGCCCCCGTCCCGTTTCTCCTCGGCCCGTGGTCGACCTTCCTCCTTCCCCTTTCCTCGTTCCTCCTCTTCCCAGTGGTCGTCCTCCCCCTTCCTCCCGCTGGTCGTCCTCCCCCCTCCTCCCGATGGTCGTAATCCCCCCTCCTTTCGCTGGTCGTACTCCCACTTGCTCCCGCCGCTCTCTCCTTCTCCTTGCTCTGCTCCATCTTCGGCTCCTCCTGTAACCGCTCCTTATTCTGCCCGTGCTCCTCCCCCCTCTCCTTGTGCTCCTCGTCCATGTTTCCTCTCCTCCTCCCGATCCTCCCTCTGTTAATTATTTGCCATCCCTGCCCCGCTCCTCCTCCCGCTCCTACTCTTGGCGCTGCTCCCCCTCGTCACTATCCTCATCCTCCACCTCGTAATCTTCCCATAATCACCCCCTCCCAAGAACTACTAAAAATTTGAAAAAAAAGTAATCACGTGTCTTCCCTCACCTGCCTTGCGTATCTGCCTTTTGCCGTTTTCTGTTGCTTTTCCTCCCAAGCCCCCTACTCTTCCTCTTCTCGTTCGTTACCCTTTTACTCGTCACTGTCCCCTCCTCCCACTTGTCCTCTTCCCCTCCTCCTTCTGCTCGTAATCTTCCCCCTTCTCCTCCTATCGCTGGTCCTCACCATCTACCTCCTTCCCCTCCCTTACCCACACCTACTCCACCCACTCCTCATCCTGCCTCTGCCTTACCTCCCAGTCTTGCATTGTCGAGCACATCGCTCCAACACGGGTATCCTCCCGTCTGCGTCGTGCAAAATTTTGGTTGTTGGAATGCAAAGCGTTTTTGGCGTAGCGCCGCTCCGATCGAGTACGTCAACTTTACCTCTCTCGAGTAATGCAATAAGATAGGATCTCGCGAGGTACAACTTATCTCCACCCGTGGGAACTGTGACCATCCCTGGGTGGGAGTTGTCGGGAACGGTGGTCCCACACCTTGCGGCAAGCATAGGACCTCACGGTCGTGTCACGCAGGATTAAGGTATTGCATTGACTTAGTGGAGATACCACTTCGATTGTGCGTGCCAGATATACCTCTCGCGACTCCCTGCGATATGACAGAGCTCCGTGAGGTACAACTCACCTCTACATGAGGGGTTGTCACCACCTTTAGGCAGAGTATCGCTGCTTATTTACCGGCCCACGTGCGAAGGCGTTTACTTGCAATTGCAGAGGTAAGTCGGCCGAGGGCGTTTGCTCGACCGTTATAGAATAGGCATACACGTGGTAGAACGCCTAAGACTGACCTGTATATGTGTCGGGCATCGGGGCGCTGATCTTCCGGACCAATTTACGATTCAGGTTGACTTGACTGACGATGTACGTATTACAAGGATTAAGTTTCAAGGGTTAATAGTTATAGGCAATGAGATATCTTTATACTTTTACACAAGCTTCATAACGAACGACTTTAACTTTTGGAAGGAAAACAACATAGGTTTTGAACCTTTAAAACAAACATTACAAATAAAAGTAGGCTCATGGTCTTTCAAACATGCATCAGAAATAAAGGTAACCTTGTGGTCTTTCAAAGAACATGATACGAAGAAGACTCGTTATGAGTCTATATAAGACTACATGTTGTTGCCTTATGATAACATGTTGGTTCGCCAACTGAACCCTCACTCACCCTCGACACCCACACTCTGCATCGACCTTTGCACTAAAAGGCATTTTTGATTTTAGGGTCATGTCTAAAGGGTTTGTGTTTGGTAAAAAATGGTCCTTGAATGACTGTAATCAGCTGAGACCGAATGACTAAATTGAAAAACGGATGTCTGGCTGAGAGGATTAAAAGTGCAAGTGTAATGTGAATGAAAGTGAAAACAAATGGTTGACTCTGTTAGGATTATGAAATCCTTTTGGTTTTGTTTACAGATCAGTAAAACTACCAACCATGCGTTATTCGCGCAACTCGCATTGACAAAGGTTAAGTGTCGATGAAGCGTCTGAGTCGGGGCTCAGATAAGCATAAGTTTGTCAATGCGAGTTGCACGAGTAACGCATGGTTGGTAGTTTTACTGATCTGTAAACAAAACCAAACGGATTTCATAATCCTAACAAAGTCAACAATTTGTTTTCACTTTCATTCACATTACACTTGCACGTTTAATCCTCTCAGCCAGACATCCCATTTTCAATTTAGTCATTCGGTCTCATCTGATGACAGTCATTCAAAGACCATTTTTGACCAAACACAAACCCTTTAGACATGATCCTAAAATCAGAAATGCCTTTTAGTGCAAAGTTCGATGCAAAGTCTGGGTGTCGAGGGTGAGTGAGGGTTGAGTTGGCGTACCAACATGTTATCATAGATGGAGAAGAAGAAGAAGAAGAAAAGAGAAGGGAAGAGGAAGACTTACCTCACATTGCAGTCGATGATGCCGACATTTCGGGTGGCGTAAGGGAACGATAGCTCATGTGGCCAAGACCCCACATCCTCTACTTACCATATGCAGGATGGAGACTTGCGGGATGTCTGATGTATCCACCGACAACATCGCGAGGTTGCGCCGATATCTGCTCGACTGTTGGAGTGCGCACTTGTACCTGTCGTGTCTCCCACATGTTGTGCTATCGGAATGCTGGACATCGTGACGGATCGGGGAGCATCGAGCAGATGGAGACGACAACGACGAAAGAGAGAAGGAAAATGTAAGTCTCCTATCTCGCGATTGTTTTTCTGGTAATTTCATTGATAGGATGAACAAAATCGAATGAATCTACCGCTAAATATGAAAATATACTACACTACTAAATGCATGTGTGTGTGTGTGTGTGTGTGTGTGTGTGTGTGTGTGTGTGTGCATGTGTGTGTATGTGTGTGTGTAAGTGTGCATGTGAGAAAAAGAAAGAATGGGCTAGTCTCTAATCTTGCGGTGGACTTCGAAGTACTCCTGTCGGTTGGATGAGCAAAATTGAATGAATCTACAGCTACAACACGGAAATGTACATTCCTACGTGTATGTGTGTGTGTGTGTGTGTGTGTGTGTGTGTGTGTGTGTGTGTGTGTGTGAGTGAGTGGATGAGAAAGAGAGAGGCGTCACGTAAATCTCGCGATTGATCTATGGAACTTCCAACGATAGGATGGACAAATCGAATGAATCAACGCTAAAACAAGGAAATATACATTGTTTTTGTGTGTGTGTTTGTATGTGTGTGAGTGTGTGTGTGTGTGCGCGCGCGCGCGCGCGAGAGAGAGAGAGAGAGAGAGAGAGAGAGAGAGAGAGAGAGAGAGAGAGAGATGAGGGTGGTGATGTAAGGGCACGTACCAGATCTTGGCGGTAGTCTATGGGGGTCGACATCCTTATGTACTTTAGTTC